GCATGTATGTGTTTATGCGTCCCTTACTCATTTCAAATCCATGCTCACGCTACTTTTTGACTTCATGGAGTTCCTTGTAGGAGAATTTGACATAGATGGTAACGATTGAGAGTGTGTTACAGAAGCATGAAATACTTTTCTTTAAAAGACATTTCTATACCCTTACAAAAATCTGAATAGATATGACTCAAACTATTTCTAAGTTCCACATATTAGCTTAGAACAACCTACTTGTCTAAGAAAAAGGACTAACAGAGAGAACGTTTCTAAATCTACTCATTCAAAAAAAAAATTCGACACTGTACACCTGAATTACCCACAAGCAAACGACTATTTCTATTTAAAACGAATGAAATTGAAAGAATACTAACTCGAATTATAGATGACTATTTTATTTAGATAGGCTAATACTGAACGCATCACACAACGCACATTTTTATCTGCAAGGAAAAGAGTAAAATATTTTTATTCATTTGTTAAACGAATCTGAGTATTTTCTATATTTTTATAGTTATTTTATACCTGCTTATGTGCCGTTTTATTATCTTTGCTAATGTATTTTAAATGATAAGACCGCGATCTTGATAATAGATGTGAGTAAAGAAAGAGTAAGAATTATGTTGATTAATTTTCAGTCATGAAACAATGAGAAAAGAATAATTTATTTGAGTTAAGGAATATTCTTAATGTAAAGGGATAAGTTCCTCAAGCTTATAAATTGAAAACCATTCCAATAATTAATCGAACGATTTTGAAATGAGAAGAAAGCACTCCATATTTGTGTGAAACGAATTCCTCGAACTATAGAATGCGTTCACTTTCATGTTTTTCTATGAAAACTTTCTACTGGAAAGAATAAATAGTTCCTGATGAGAGACAGTTTGTACGCTGTTCAGTCTTTATAGATATACAGTTTATTTTTTTCAATGTCTTCATCTACTGGAGTTATCGATGAACTGACCACAGCTACAACAGTAATCAACTTCGTTTTGCTAATGATTAGCTTTGTACCAGGATCAATTGGCCTTGTACTCAATGTATTCGTATTTACTCGATCATCGCTTCGACAACAGCCATGTTCAATCTACTTTCTTGCATCGACTTTTTGCAATCTATATGTCGTATTTATTATGATTCCAGTGCGTATTGCTTCAGGAAGTTTTAATATCGACCCCGGTAACTTAAGCAACATCATTTGTAGATTCGAAATGTTTATATTGTATGTTATGCGTTCACTTTCCTGCTGGTTGATTGTCTTGGCATGCGCCGATCGCTATGTGAACAGTTCGACTAGTGAGCTCTGGCGTCGACGTTTCAGCTCATCGAAGGCAGCGATTCGTGCAGCTACAATCGCTGCTGTGATTATTTTTGTTGCCTACAGTCATATGCCGTTCTATTTTAACATTGCTACAAACAACATATTCGGTCAAGCGACACCTCAATGTGCTGCTGAAATGGGTACATATCGCACATTTATTAACTTATGGCAAGTAGTTATCTATTCACTGATTCCAACATTCTTAATGATTATTTTTGGCACCCTCACTCTCATTAACATTCGTCGGCAACAACGTCGAGTTGGTCCTATGATTATCAGGAGTTTATCAATTCAACGACGAAATGACAATCAATTATTGCGCATGTTGACTGTGCAAGTACTAGTCATCATCCTCACGACGATTTGCTCTCCAATCTACCTATCTTATCTATCGATCACATCTGGCATTGTGAAGAACACTAGACGAACTGCCATAGAAAAGCTAGTTAACGTGCTAGTTAATGGATTGACTTATATGGCGCATGCGAGTAGCTTCTACCTGTACACCTTAACAGGTTCTGTCTTTCGAAAGGAAGTGATCAAGATATTCTGGTATTGCATTCGTTTGAGCTTACGGCGACAACGAGAACAATAGGCAGTTAGAACAAACAACATCTCGTTGCATACAATGACTGCCAGGATCCTTCTTCATTGAACAGCTCTTACTGGTGACTGTGCAAGAGTATAAAAATACAAGACATGTCATTGAACAGAAATTGATATCACGGATTACAAGTAATAACAAATGCGACGAACAGTGGTAATTTCGAGGGTGTGAATGTGCAGGAAGAAAAGACTCACACCCACACCCACACCTGAAACCCATCGTAGTAGACTTTATATTATTTATTACATATCCACACCCACCATCAAGATGCTCTGTTGTGACAACTAATATTGTGTTTCATTCGATTTTTTGACTTACAACAGTGGCACTTATAATGTGAGTTGTTAACTACTTGTTGCTTCATCAATTTATTAAAATACAAGAAAGAACATGTATTCTCAAGTATTTAGTGTATGAAAGTGGAATAAATTGAGTTGGAATTTATGTCAGCTATTAGCCTGATCTTATGGATCTAGAAGATTAAGACAAGCGTACTAATCGCCATTTTTGAGCTGCCGTACCATTTTCTTGAGCAGCTTGGACGTTTGTTTCGTCTTTGGTTCCAGAATTTGTGACATCTAGTGCCAGGCCATGGCACACATTAATAAACGTATATACTTCATCCCCAACAGACTTAACACGCCACTTTTGCTCGTTTATTCCATCGTCTGAGTAGATTTGAACAATGCCGCCAGTCGATGTACCACATCTAGATACGTCCAGTGCTTTACCACTATTTGGATTTACCAGCGTCACAGTACCATCTCTGTTCTTACGGATAATCCAGCGTTGACCGATGCCCCCATGGTCGGAGTAAATTTGAACATTGGTTGCATCTTGTGTCTTAGCCCCTTCGATATCTAGAGCCTTGTTGCTGATAACATTAAGCAGTTGGTAGGTTGCACCGAAAATAATATCACTTGAGCCTGAATTGGAAAATCTTATTTTAACAGTATCAGAGCCGCATATTGATGAAATTATGTTTCTAACAGGATACACAATGAAACTTCAAAATCTACGTTTACAAAAAATATCTCCAACCTCCAATTCTGTAGAACACTAGTATACAGCGTGCTTCATAAGTTTTGAGACAGGACACAACTAGTGTATATGAAAACACAAAACAATGGCTAATCATTATGTTGAGTGGGTGGGTGTGAGCAAGATTGTGGATACGATATCAATATATAATACCCGCACCCACACTCACACCGATGCCTACCCTCAATTTCCTACCATTCTCTCCTGCAAGTAAAACCGACTCTATACTCTATGCCGATTTGATTCATGTTTTGTTGCTAAATATGAAGAAGCTTGGACAAATAGTATCGATATCTGTATCAATACCGAAAAAAAGACAAAATTGTGACTAAGCTATCAAGTTTGTATTTGCACACCTTCTGAACAATCATTTCCCCTCCAGTTGGGTCGACATTCACAGGTGCCAAGGAGAAATGACGCAGTCCGCGACGTATTACAATGTCCGTGATTTGAATCTGTACAGTTGTTAATACAGATGATTTCTTGTCTGTCTAGATATCGTTGAATAGCCATTTCAACGAGTTGTGACTTGTTTTGAATATGATTGTCATTTGGAAAACGTTTGCGTGTCAATAGTGTTAAAATATCTAAAACGAAAGGCCGAATAAAAGCCATATACTTCACAAACTTTTTGTTGTTGGGATTATTGTTATGCACATATCTATGCTAAACAGTGGCTAGAGATCTATTTTGAATTTGTGTCCATTACGAAAGACTTTCTCATCAAACGTAAATTAAGTCATGGCTTTTAAGTTACCTTTTACTGTGTGGCTCATAATTACTGGATTGTCAGGAACTGATTTAATCCAAGCATTCATTGTCTGTGCTGAAGGATCACCACCTAATTTCGTCGAACGTGTATTTTTCACTGATTTCATGAGCTCATTATGTTGAGCCTTCTCTTGCGCTGATGTAGTCTTTACGTTGAATGATAAGATGAAGCCGACACTTGCTGAATGTGAAACAGCTTCGCCTTTCGATTGCATTTCTCGTATTTTCTGGTTCTCAACGAACAATGTTTCTTGAGCTATCCCTCCTAGTATTAATTCTGTGACAAACGTTAATCCAAAATAATCAATCAAGAATTCCTCAATATACTCATCAGTCTCCACATTTGAATTATCACAGCATGGCATTTCTTCAATAACATATCGAAAGGTATCACTGAGTTCCATCATAGGTTCGAACATACTCAACTTGCCCCAAGTGACTTGACCACGAGTGAACGTTGCTGTTGTATCCTGTTTTGTCATTTGATCAGTCATAAAACGAGTTTCTCTCGACTGACTGTAGCCGGCAGAAAACATTTTATATTTGACGTCAGCGCCAAATGAGATGCCTTTCGAAGTCGACTCAGATAGTTGATTCATAGTTGAAATAATTTCAGTTGAGGACTGTAAGTCAGCGCTAGGTATACAGTGTAATTCTACAAAATTTGGAATCAGTCTAGAAGAACATGATCCGCTTGCCGGCTGGGTGTAATTCAGTTTGAAGACTGAACGTCGAAATCCATCACCTTGGCATTGACCGGTATAGCAAGCGGGACTTCCGTACACGGGATTATAACCGAGACCGATAGTGTTACTATTTTTGAGCCAGAAAGGATCATTACGTCCTAATGTCGGTTCATAGCTTTCCTGATGATCAGCTAAGTACTTTCTAACATAATCAAACGTATGTGCCTCATTGCAGGCAAAGAATGTAAGTACGAGAACAATGAAGAAAAGCTGCATGATAACAGAATGTGATAAGAGAGAACCGATTTTTGAAATAAAAGAAAAAGAAGCCCACATTTATACAGAATGAAAAGCTTTGATTTCATGTGAAGTACTACACCTGGCAGCCTGCAATTATTTCAGAGAAAAATGATTGTGATTAGGGTAGTCGTCTTTAATTCCAACACATAATGAAATATTCAAGGAGAAACTTTACGGATTTTGTCAAGCAAGAGATTACGTTTGTTTGAGTTTTGAAAGAAACTTTGACTCTGAAGCGACGACAAATCATTATCACACAATAATTAATCAAGAAGAACTTGGATGTGAGTGTGGGTGAAGAGAAATTACTCACACCTACCTTTAAATTAATCCTCGTATTGTTTGTTTCGTTATTCACATATAATTGTGAATTGAAAAAAGAACAAATATGAAAGTTTATCTCACTGTATTCAAGAAGAGTGAAGCCGAATAAAAATACACACACACACTTGTGCCATAGACATATTAGAGGACGAAAGTAAATAATGATAACTAAAAATAAATCAAAACAAATAATTGCGTTCTTCACGACGTCTTCTCTGCGAAAGAAAGTGTCTGGCAGTCGATGAGACATAAGTTATCGCAAAGCGAAAGATTAGAATCATGATTTAGCTCTATTATCGAATTGAAGGTGACGAGATTAATAAATACGGGGAGACTTAGTTTTCAGTTATAAGGATTTAGCTAAGTGTGAGCGTGTAGCTCAAAGTGACTACTCTAGATGTGAAGCTGGAGA